GGGCGTTGGAATCGGATGATCCATTGATAGATGTACTAGAATCCGAGGGACGTAGAGATTTTTTGGAAGGAGAGTGGGATACCATTGTCGAGCGAGAGCCTTGTTGATGCAGAGTCGACGTCGCCAGAGAGTGGGAAGAAACTTGGGCAGTCTGTGGAGGTATTACTGCTTGAGAAGAGGAACGTCTGCGCTGGTGTAGGCGAGCTGGGCTGATCCATTTTACTGGTCTGCGTGTTCGCTCATAAGCGATAAGGAAAGTGTAGTAAAATCCCTACAGTAACATAAGCCGCTAGTAGTGAACGGAATAAGAGAAGGACGCACGATCAGAATGGCTGTGATACCCAGTCGAGTGGCAGATAGAGCCATCCAAGCACCCCACCCATAAGGCTTGGGGCACTCCTGCTTCGAGCCAGACCAGATTACATCGATATCGATGTTACAGCGTTGTTCTGTCGAAAGTTCCTGTTCTAGACTACCCCGCCAGACAAAGAGGAGGACTATGTTGACGATAGCAGGCGCGATGAGTGCAAACGAAGAAAGACACAGGGAGGATAAGGCTATTAGTGTAAGAAGCCGGAGGGGGACTGAGTACATGAGAAGATGGAGTTTGAAGAAGTTAAAGATCACGGCTGTCGCTAGGAGAGCAAACGAGATACCGGCACATGTGCCAAGTACTAGTGATACGAGTTGTCCTTGAGCAGAGTCATAGGTTGTGAACGCGATGAAATATCGTGTAGCATTGTAGATAGCCCATGCCCCTATTCAGTCATAAGCGAAAATAAATAACCGCGTTTCGTTGATGGACACACCAAAGATTAGCTCCAACGTCCGCATGAGAATCCGTAACCGTTTTAGACGCTTTCTAAGCGTCCTCTCCCAAAAATTCTTCTTCTCCCGCAACGTAGGTGGGTCACCGAGAAGCGTCGGATGTGGACCCCATTCTAATGGGCCGGCCTCGTCGATCAAAGTAGGTTGTCTTGAAAAGAGATCGATATACGCGAGGGAGTCTGGCGTTATCGGCTGTAAAAGGGGTTCGGTTGCATGTGAAGATTCCGACGCGCTTGCATGTAATGTTGTTCCAGAGATAGTAGAAACATTCCTCGAGTGAGGAAACGGTGGAGACCTAGCAGTATCTGGTGTTTCTGGGGTAAAGACCGCGTTATGTAGATAAAGGGCAGCCATCAGATGATTTAGCTGAGAGTGCAACAAAGATGCGCAGGAGGGGATTCGTAGCTTCCGTTGGAGTTCGTGATGAGACGTAAGTTTATCGCGAAAGACAATGACCTAGTTGTCGGGAAGTATAGTAGTGTACGGGTAGGGGGACTAGCAGCAGCGGAAGGCCCGGCCTTCGTGGTCGTGAAGGTTGTCGAACTGTGAATGCGGGAAACGTCAATCAGTCAATGTCAAAAGTTGAACGTTCAACTTTTGGCTTGGCATTCCATCCACTTCCTTTTCTGGTGTTTGGCTCTGTTGCTCAATCACCCTCAACTTATTCCACGAATACTGTTCCAAACTTCTGAGCAAATGCCATACCTACCCATATACTTATCTACTTATCTACCTATCGATTATCCTTGATCACCTAACGTACGTGCCCAAGAGGAGGTACCCTAGAAAGACATTTCGCGCCTATACTGTGACGTCTGGCTCAGATAATGGTTCGTTGATTGATTGATCGGCTCTTCCCCGGTTCCAGTCATCGGCCAACATGTCCGCCCCGCAAGGAAGTAGATTTGGCAGATTATGCCTTGGGCCATGTTCGCGGATCCCCTGGTACAGAAGCCTTAGTTCTCTGCGCCCGCTTGGAATGCAGGGAATTACCTTGCGCCAAACTGTCTCAACAACATTTTTTTCACCCTTCGTGTCAGCATTCGTAGCGAGGGAACGATGAAACAAATACGGTTTCAACGCCACTTCTTATGACCGCCGGTAAACCGGAGGTTTATCGTGATAGTCTCGCTGTCCGTTCCTCGGTGTTTGAACCAAGCGCAGGCCCAACACTCAGGAAGCGTTCAGCGAGCCGTTTTTTTTCATACCTTCCTGTCCCTTCCCATACCTAACTTCTCGCTAAGCTAGGTAGGTCCGTTATCGGGCCACTTGGTAATCAACCTCTCTGGCGGTGAAACTCCGGACTGCAAGGCGTCGAAGGCTAGACTTTAGGAATCGAAGGTAATCTCAGAGAGTATGGATCTACCTACGGACTGGGCATTCCCCTCCAGTCACAATATATTTCACAAAACAGTTGTTACGCAGGGAAACTCAGACAAGGGCATACAAGACATGCTTTTCTCCTGAACGCTTCCAGGCGCTGGGTTCCATCCAGTCGTTTCTATCAATCTAGGGGCTTGGGCAACTACCCCCTTCTCCACAGGTTGACACGAAGGGACAAGACACAACGGCAGCAAAATCACTCTAACCCTCCTAGGAGATCGCTATGTGGACACACCCAGGAAGCACCTGGAGATATCCGTACATTTTGCGTCGCACAGGGTCTACCAGTCCCTTTACTTCTCTTTATGGCATCGTCATGCTCCCCCACTATTCCCCACGATGTTCACTAGCGTTAGATCGGCATATCGTAAGTACAGCAGATCGTAACAACCTAAGTCCCTGAGTAATTCTTCTTTGCACGACGACAACCCAAACAGCGTGTTGATCAGTTTGTCATTTCGCGCTGCCTTTTGAATAGATAGGAATCATCCCGTAATCCATATTACATTCTACCTCGGGAGGATCCACTCGGGAGAAACTAGGGCGGGGTCATGGGATCGCACATCATCGCACAGGGACCTACAGATTGGCGATCTGTCTGTATTTCTTCCAAGGTGCGCTCGGCTCAGGGAGAAAGAAGCGCCTACAATCGCGGAACTATGACGTCGTCCATACTCTTTCGCAGTAGAAGTCGTCATAGGTCTACTCCCGAGGGCTTGTCGTACACGATCTCTATCAAGCTTCTCCCATAGGATGACCGCATACGCGCGATGCCTATAACGGCCGTTTGTCACAACACTTCTCATCTCCGGTTATCCTCCCCGTATCCCGAGAATTGAGCCCTTCTGAAGATTTATGGATCAGCTGGTATATCTCTTACCAGTTAGCCTTCAGCTTGAGGGTATGTTCGAGATAATAGCATGTCCCTTATTTATAGAGCATCTGATGGTCTATCATATCTGTAATTTAAATGCTAGAAATCCGAAAAGCAAGACAGAAACTCAAGAAGGGTTCAATAGTGAAGAGTTTCGGGAGAAGGTCCCCGGATGGTGTATATACTGTTTACCTGGTCCGGGCTGCACCACATCAGACCCCCGCAATGAACTCAGGAGTCAACTCCAATTGAACTCGATCACTATGGAAGCACATACATAAAGAGTTCGGATAGTGACATACATTGATTACTTCATTCGTACTCAAGAATCCAAGTTCAACGTTCGACGTTCACATTCAATCACCAACGATCGCCAGGAACCTGGTCGATCAGTTTGGTCCTAGCTGTGTAGAAAGGGTGCCGATTGTATTCATCCCCCACTATGACGTGTGTTATCATCAGTCAATACGGTCTCTTGATCATCATCATACAATGTGCTAATGCAATGACGAAGCGCGCGATGTACACAGATGGGTCGTAAGCGAGTGAGGCCGGTGGCCACAAGTCGGGGACAAGGCAGAGGGTCGAGACCCCGAGGCGGCCTTCAGGGTAGTAAACAGGAGACTAGTAATTGAAAGTGACCTATGAGCCGTGCGGCCTCGTCACTGAGATTTGCGACTTCCAGTAAGTAATTGGTCCGATGACGGGATACCTATTGTTTTATCCAGTTGAATGGGCTATCCAGGGATAAAACACGGAAGGAGGGACTTGCCTGAATTATTGCATTCCTGTCAGACGTTGCTCATCCCCGACCGTTTCTTCTTACTTTTCTTCTTGCCTTCGCCACTGGCGTCATTAGGATCTCGTTGCCTCTTTTCCCTGGCACCGTCGATGATACCATGCGGCGTTCGTGAAGAAGGCGCGTCCACGCCTGCAGGTTTGAGGAATCCTGTAGATATTGATACCGTTCGCGGCTGCTGCTGCTGCTGCTGCTGCTGCTGCTGCTGCTGCTTCTGATTTGACCGTTCGTTAACTATCGTATCGTCGATCTCCCCCGCCTCCTTTTTGTTCATCACATTCGATGCTGACCGCAAATCAGTACCCACGCCCTTCAAGGACTCAAAGACCGCTTCTCTCGCGCTCTTCCCCTTGGTGCCCGAGAGTGATCCTAGTGTGTCCGTACTTGGTTGGTCAAATGTGTTAAAGCCCTTAAGGTTCTTGCCAGGGGCTGACGATATTGACCTAGGTTTCGCGTGAACCCTCAGTCTGCGCCCTTTATTCGGCGATTCGTCCAGTTTGGATGTCACATCGCCATTAGTGCCAGCAGCAAGTCCAGCCTCATCAACCTCGTCAATACCATCCTCGCCATTCGTCTATAGACAATACAGAACACAGCAAAGTTAGCGAGGAACTGCATGAAAGGAGCGGGAGGGATTGACTTGTGTTTTGGATTGCGATTGCGACCGTGAAACGTCCCGGCCATTTTTATCGAACATGCGCCGCCCGGAAGGCTTTGATACTGGACTTGCCGCATCCTCGTGTTCGGATGAGAAAAGGAATGGTAGGTATGACATTTCGTACACTGCGGTATCACTGTAAGATGATTAGGATATGGGCATGGTACCAGTGTGGGCGAATACGTACCTCTTCTGTGTCCCCTGTCCTATGCCCCATGCCTCCTTGACATCTTGTCCCACCTCCCATTTGCCCTCGTCTTTGACCTCTGCGCGTTCGAGTTCAACTTCTTGTAATTGTTGTCGACGTAGTGCATTTTGCATAAAACGAAGACTGAGAGTTCCGGTGCTTAGAGATTTTCCCGACATGATCAATCAAAAGTAGAAAGTGAGGTGGGGGTTGGGTGAGAGTTTTGGCCTGTGTGATTGATGGTTGAGATCAGGCCAAAAAAACAAAAGGTAACCACTGACGGGGATCGAACCCGCAACCTTTGCCTCACTTGCCTGACATTGCTGATTCAACAGCGCTGTAGGAAAGCAACGCACTACCATTGTGCTACAGTGGCTTACGCAACCCTTCCTGATGATTATGAACACCATATGTTGCTTAGTTGTTGTCCCTTATTTCCAGAAAGAAGCTGAAGGCAACTAGGATCGATCAATTGCAAAGATCTGCACTTGTTATATTCCTGCCTGGCCTCGACGCGGCACGACGGATGATGCGGATAAAAGAGAGGGATAGTAGGGAAGGGTAAACGCCAGAGATTTTAATGAATGCTGCTATCCGAGCAATGGTGGGGAAGGAAATCATATTCGTGATTCCAAATTCATTGACTCTGGTGGTCAGAGCACTGACCGTGTCTCCCGACAAGGAAATAAACTCAGCTGCGGATCAATCAATGAATCTATATTAGAGTAAAATTCGGTAGGACCTCCCGATTTTGTAATTGAAAGCGAGTGAGCGTGTTTTGTACTGAGACCATGCTAGGAGAGTGTTAGGTTTAGGCATATGTGAATGGAAGGACCATCGTATGTGGTGGTACATGATGGTGGGGCAAGAAGGATGAATTTGAACTGATCAGTGATCACCGGTCAGAGCTGAGGAAAGGGCAGGAGTTATGACTTCTACAGTGCAAATGAGAATTAAGTATGAGTGTCTCCTTGAATTGAATTTCTGAGAAACTCGAGCATGGTGGGAAAGTAGGCTTACAGAGATAATACGCTTGGAGCGACCCGCGAATAGCACATCTCATATGATGGGTTCGTTTAACAGAGAAGGCAGAAATGACGTTTCCTTGATCAAGGAAAACCGTATATGTTCGCTCCAAGATACCAAACTTGTAAGCAACCGCGGTGCATCACTGATGAATTTAATTAGAAGCATGCTTTGACATAGAAAACGAACTGTACATACTGTGATCTCACCCGAAGTACACATTCCGCTCGATCATGAGTGATGAACAAGATGTCGACGTGCGCACCCTCCGCAGTCAGCCCAAACGCCTGAGAAAGGGCATCTGCTATGGTTTTGCGTATCGCAAGGGCGTCAGAAGATGGGGGGGACACCTTGAGGCGGATGTAGTGGTACATGGTTGAGATTGCCAGAACATTGGGATTTAAATATGCATTTGCTTACGTAATATATGCGTCATTTATGGGACCATCTAGCCTCGAAGTCCGAAGTTCACAGGCTTGGCTTGTGCACCAACGCCCTTCTTCTCCCCTCCGACCTTCTCCCCCTTCTCCCCATTGTTCTATTGACTCCTTTAATCCGCATTTCATCAAGAATCCAGGTGTCCGTTGTGCCCCATGCCCCAAGGAAGACCAACAACGTCACGTTCGCAACGGTTACAGAAATATCGGAAACCAGCGAGATCACGACGGAATACAACGAGCACTACTTCTACAGCCACAGTAGATACTCGGCTCGAGGAAGATGCAGTACCGCAGCTGTCTGAACACCAATGCTGCGGAGTCGTAGACGAGACAACGTTTCAGCCACGGGGAAAGAGGGCGCGGGGTACAAAGCCGCAACCGTGGCTCGTTCGAAAACTCATGGTCTTTATCACGCTGGGCATCATGGGATATGCCGGCTATGTTTATATTGGAAGGTTCTGCAGAAACACAATCAAGCAGGATCAAAATTCCACCGCAGGAAGGGCGACTGGAAGTGAGTCCTCCTATTCCTTATTTGTCCCAATGCGTATATGCGTGCACAAACTATCTTGGCTGACCTATTCTTGACTCTAGTCGTGCTACTAGTCATTTTCTGTGTCCTTTACTTGTGGATGCTATGGGCATATATGAAGGTATTCGCGTTGCACTCATTAATAGGAATATCGGACAAGCTGACGACGTGAAGGTTGTACTCACATCTCCAGGATATGCCAGAGACGTATGTTTCTTGGACCTCCTCCAATAAATTAACTGACACCGCAATAGCATATACCCCGGACGCCTCAGCCACTCGTCGAAAGTGTTGATACCCCACATTCAAATTTGGACCTAGAGCATACCTTGTCGCATTATCAACCGGCGCTTGAACATCCCACATCAGGAGAATTCGACCCCACACGAACCCACCGCTATAACCAACCTTCATATTCTTCTGCATCCAGTCATGTACCAAGTCACCTCGGTCGACCAGTACCGGCTGATCCTATTGCTGGACCATCATATGAGGATATCGTGCTTCGAACGTCTCTACACGACCAGAATATGAGCCCGGAGAGAATGGAACGGGGGGCAGAAGGAACGGGTGCTGTAAGAATGGCTGGTTTCTCTACGGTTGGAGAAGAAGATGGTGGCGTAGGGCAGGGAAGACTAAGGACTCCGTTTGATCCCCCATTTACTAGCTTACTTGAAGGGGAAATTGCGCAACCAGAAGCTGCCCATGTAAACGGACGTGATAAACATACTCTCGAGATGGGTCCCATCAATGGACATGCAATACACAGTGGTACCTCGGGGGACAGATCACGAGGCACAAACCCTGTGGCACCGCCGCTGCCAACGATACAATCCAGGGTCGGGGGTGTCAGATCTTCATGGAAAGTACTGCTTTATCCGTGCGCTGTTTGCACCGATAACCAACCTATCAATCGCCAAGGAAAGGGGGAGCTCCCCGTTCGGAGAAGGCCGTCGATGACTCCCATCTTGCACCCAGCATATAGATATTGTCACCAGGATCGAATTGTCAGACCTTATCGGGCCCACCACTGTCGTAGTTGCGGTACCGTGAGTCCCAAAACTGATAGTCCGTTGGTATTGAATAACGAATGCCATTCTTAGTGTGTGCTGAAATTTGATCACCATTGCCCTTGTATGTCCTTCATTTCTATCGCTTATCTTATCGCAGACATAGGGCTTTTATCTAGGGATAGGACAATGCGTTGGGGCCAGAAATCACAAGGTACGCTTGCCTGTGGCTTTCTGTCTATTTTACTAACTCGAGTGGAATTCAGTTCTTTTTAAATTTCTGCCAGGCAGGGGCCATCTTGACGCTATATATACTTGGTACCCTCGTCGGATTTAGCGTACCAGCATGGGCCTCAGCGTCCTCCAATGCTAGTGTGGACCCACAGATAATCGTCGTTGGTGCCCTGTATGTGGATGTTGAGTGAAAAACGGCTTGATCTCACGATTTTACTCTATAGAGCTGCCCTTTTTGGACTGTTTACAACCGTGCTCACATGTTCTCATGTGATATTGATTCTGAGGGGACAGACGACAGTTGAGAGTATGATGATTCATGCCACAAAAGAACGGGAGTCCACAACGTTGACACAAGAATATGGGTTTTGGGGTTTCTGGTGAGTGGGGCTGACTGATAGCTTTTATCGTTGGGCTAAGCTGACACCGCGAACGACTGTTGCCGCAGTGCCAAACGAGAGGCTCAAAGGCAATGGAATGAGGAGTGGGGCGATCTGGACACGGAAGGCAGTATATGGTGGACTGGGAGCTGGAAACAGGGATGGATTAACGTCATGGGTACGAACGTATTGGGTTGGATATGTGAGTCATCGCTCATTTCCTTTTCTCTTTGGTCCATGGTTTGCGGCAGCGTGCTGCCTCCACGACGCTATTTTTGTTGGTGGCAAATGTGCCTAACCGATTGATCAGCAATTATCTTTCTTCGTCGTGCTTGCCTTCGTGGCCAGACCCATATGGACCAAGTGGGTGCAGGGGCAACACCTGGTATTCTTCTCGGAGATACAGAGTGCCTCCCATCCATCGCCGTCTGATCGTCCCTGAAGACATCTTTTTTTTCTGTCTCGTTATATCTGTTTTTTTTTTTTTACCGTTCCCCGGCATTTCATGCACGGATTCGCCTCGCAATCAAACATGTCAGGTGGTCAATGACGGTTAATTTTGGAGGCCATCCAATTTACCCAAATGACGTGGGTGTGTGGTGACACACACTATGCATGCTCCCAAAGTTATCTTACCGCATTGTCACTCGGCTTCTTTTGGGGTAGGAGTTTGGAGCCCCTTTGCAAAATTGGATGTGGATTTCTGATGTCTACTGCTGTCTTACCCGACTTCTCCTTTTTTTGGGAAAGACAGCGCCCTCGTTTTTGAACTCGGAGAGGCGCTGTCGCTTTTCCTTCTCCGGCCAACGTAACGATAAGCAAACTTATCTCTTCCTGACGGCTTGGCCTTTCCACTTGTTCTTCATTTGTCACGTCGAATACTGATGACAGCGTCCTCGATATTAGTACCAATCGGTCGGGGTAAGGGTGATGGCCTGTCATATCCAGTAAATCCTCGGTTCGATGAGCAAGGTCGACTTCGAAGACGAGCAGATTGGCCAGCCGAATTCCGATAACAGACTCTGCGTTGGCATTTCAGAGGACGCCTTTGGTATGATGGATATGCTTAATGGGCTTATGGAAAGGGACGGAGGATAGCGAGATCTATCGTTTATTTTGACAGGCACATCTGTAGGAGTACGTGTATGTAGATAGTGGCCGCGGAGCATGTGACCCGGAGCAAACAAGGGTGGAGATGAAAGAAGGTAGAGCCGACAGTGGCGGGCGGAACCTGCCTCCATGGCTTGGCCGTATAAAGTTCTTGCCGGCACTGATGGTGCTATTGCACCCCCGTTTTCTACACGGACTACCTCCATCACATTCTTCTACCCACAACATGTCACCCACTGCCGCACCCAACGTCCACCCGACCAGCCCCAACCACCGCAAGTTCACCAAGCAGGAGAGCGTAAAGGCCAAAGCTACCGCTACGGCCTCCCACCTCGCTACTCCCGATCCAACATACTCCTCCAGCCAGATCGTTTCCCTTGAGGAAAAATATGGTGCTCACAAGTGAGTATTGCCCTACTTCTATGTTTCGTAGGGTAGTTGCTTTGCCTGTCGGATCTATACCATGTAATTTGCATGTGGTCCCCTATGTGTTTCACTCATGAGGCGCTGCCCAAGTCGACAACAGAGCCCAGTAGTCCCCTTGGTATCGAGGCTCGACCGCCCGGTAAGCGCGCATGTCAAGGGCCTGATGTCCAGTTTTAACACTCGGCGTCTAGGCGTTCGGTGTGAAGCGAGTGGGGAGG